GCGACGCCCCTGGCCCTGAGAGCGGGATCTATAATATCTCTGACCCTGAGGACGGAACCCATGATGTCCAGGGCCCCGAGGACCCGTGATATCCCTGGCCCCGAGGACGCGTGATATCCCTGGCCCCGAGGACCCGTGATATCCCTGGCCCCGAGGACCCGTAATATCCCTGGCCCCGGGGACCCGTAATGTCCCTGGCCCCGGGGACCCGTGATATCCCTGGCCCCGAGGACCCGTAATATCCCTGGCCCCGGGGACCCGTAATGTCCCTGGCCCCGAGGACTCGTGATATCCCTGTCTCCGGGGACCCGTAATGTCTCTGGCCGCGCCGGGTGACGAGCATGATTTTGGCGACCCCCTCCCGGCGGCGCTCGTACAACACAGCTCGTGATCCCGCCCGGGGTCTCCGGCCGCCGCCGCCAAATGCGACGCATTTTAATGCGCCGTGCCTGGGCACGAGGGAAATAAACTCCAGTATTGGGTTATACATTCAATTATGTCGCGGGGAATCGCATGGACTGCACTCGGAGGCGGGGGACGTGGATAACGACTGCGTGCAGCTGTGAAGCCCACGGAAATGGAACACCGGGAAATTCCCTGGCCCGCCGTTATCGTTGTGTTTGATTATGACAGGGAGCGCTCTGAGTTCGAAAATAGTTTAAAAGTTATGCAGAATGCGAGGGAAAGGGTAGTTGCTTGGTGTGGAAAGTTGACGCGACTCATGGGCTTAAAACCCTTGCAGGTTTTAAATTAGTTTCATGCATATTCACGAGGCATCCCTCCAATTAGGTTCCCAACTTTTGTAATGTAAAATGGAATGCGAATATTTGAGCGATTTTTCAGTTTATGTGCTAAGTTTTTATGCTTTTTTTGTCGTAGCGTATAGTTTTGCCACATTTTCCATCTTTTCTAGAAAGCAAAACAACAACAAATTAAGGTGATACGCTTTCTATATGCCACCAGAACAACTTAACGAGAAATGCGCTGCAGTTCGTACACATTCTGACTGCACTGAAGAAGGAGGTCTATGCAAATTAACCTTGTATTTGAAATCCTGGTACCATGTACGGAATAGTGCTTCTTCACAAGTTCTGAAAATGTATTATGAAATCCTGAAAGCCTGAATGCTTCTGCTCTAGACTATGACAAACCACGACCTGTTTTCGGTTTTTTGTTGAACACGTGCGGTAAAAACGGAGCGTTTTTGCGACGCCTCTCATCGCCACAGCAAACGTTGTTTTCACGCAGACTCTCGCAAATAGTTCTGTCGGATGTTGTATACAACGCGCCAGGCAGCACCAGTAAAATGTATGTGCGCACCATCGCATATGATAGAACATGCATCAGCAGATTCGTTTGTGATACCGCAGGTGATGGACCGACCGTTCCAAAGTTTCGCGACGCGGTGATAGCACAGTACCATGAAGCTGCGCGCACCCAGATTGGCCATGAGCCACGCTGCACTGACGAAACGCAGTGCTTGGACGTTTACACCAAACATGTCGTGTTCTCAATGCTCACTCTGTACGCTCTGTGCACTGCATAACAGAGGACAATGACGTCATCAGAAGTGTGGGCGCCACACTCTCAGCAGTGCACTCGCCAACTGGATCCGCGTGGTGCAGTCAGCAGCACGCGGATTTACACCCATCCTGAAGCCGACTGGCTGATCGTTCAGGAAGTGCAATGCCAACGCGCCGAGCACTATTCAAAGATCACCTGAACGTCACGCAAGCGATACAATCCAACGCAACGCAGAGCCGCTGCAAAAGACGCTGCACGACCGGCCGGTTTTGTGTACTGGTGGAGACGCCACGGCCGGTCGCAAAAACAGCACGCCTGCGGTTCTGTCTCGATCGCCACCTCCCAGTCTTCGCAAGTTCTGAGTTGTTTAGCTCTGAATACGTGCAGGAGCGATTTGTTTGGGCCCGTCCCGCCTGGGCCGCGGGCCTCCACAGGGCAAAAACGCCGCGCAAGCGCCTCGCGAGCAGTTCCTCCTGTAAATATTATTCGAAGTGATCATCTGGCCTGAATAGCGCCCAGCGAAAAACGCCCGCGCCCCGAAGCTCACGCCCATGGGCACAATGTCGCGCGGGGCCCGGCCGGCTGCGTCGCCGCCGGCGTCGTTCGCAGCTGCCGTCTGCTGACCCGGCCGTGCTCGGGCGAGTGACAGCGTCGTCTGGTGCGGCTGTGACGTTTTATCGGCCGGCCGCCGCGCGCCGCGGGCCGGTGACGGTGACCCGAGACAGGGCGGCCGCCCAGATGGGACCCATCCGACCGCCGGGCAGCAGCCGAGGCCCCGAGGCGATGAGGTCAGCACTGGCGCTGGCGTAACGTACGGTCTTCCAAGAGCCGCGGTTGATCGCGGATAGGAGTCTTTTGGGGGGAAGTATAGCACTCTGTAGAGGGCTCCGGCGCGTGGGCCAATATCGGTGAATCTGGCACACTTATGGATGGACATGAAAACACGAAATGCCAATGGATGCCTCAGTAAAGGAAACCATATATGCCGTCTATGGCGCACGCGCTGGGTACCTGACAAAACAACCAAAGAACAACCATTCATTGCGTTTTCTTCATAGCCACAATCAATAGCCTATCTGTGGAATACAGCGCCGTTTTTCTCTTTTAACGACGGCACGCACCACCCGATACAATCAATCTCCCGCGCCGCAGTTTCCGAATTTCAGTATTGCGCAGCTTCACCGCACGGCAGGTTAGACGGGTCATCCCGGCGGCCCCGCGGCGGTCGGAGGTCGGCGGGTCACGCGCCGCATGTCCCGCCGCAGACGGCCGTGCAGCGCCGGTAGCCGACGCCCGCGCGTGACCGGCCGGCCGGGCCCGGTCACGTGGGCCCGCTCCGGCGGCCAATTAGCTGCGACGATCCCGGCGCAGATGGGGCGCCGATACGACCGCCACGGCGGGACGCGTCGGCGCGGATGATTTGCGCGCGCCGGGCGCGGTTTAACGCGCCTGTTACGGCCGGAGAGCGCGCACGAGTGGCCGCGCGACGGCCGCGGGACGCGGCGCGCAGCGGTGCCCGCCGCTCATCCCGGCCGTCCTGTGGGCCGTCTTCGAACCGGTGCCGGCTAGTATGTCAAAATCACTTGAACAAAAGGTGTCTTGAAGACCAAATTGTCTTCGTCATAGCTCGGGAGGAGATCGATATCAGCGTGAAATTCAGTCCGCCGAATGTAAAGATCGAAGTGACCTGGGAGAGAACCTGAGAGCTCAAAGTCACCGATTAAACGTTATTTTCCGCCCAAAATATTGCATTTTCAGACCTTGAGCCTGGTGTCCTGAGAACAATGCTCGCGTCTCGGCAGCTTCCCGCCTAAGAGGCTCTCGTTACCGGTGGAGATCAGTGTCTCCGAGCCGGTGCAGTGTCTCCGGCCCCGCTCTGGCTGCGTGGCTAGGTCTAGCAGCAGTGCCTTATCCCGGCTGGAGTTCCCCCCACCCCCGCCGGTCCCGCTCTGGCCCAGCAGCAGTGTCCTGTCCCAGCCGGAGCTCCCCGCCCCCTCCCCCTCCCCCGCCGGTCTGCTCCGGCGCGGCGCGACGTGACGCCAGCGCGCGCCCGGCGACGGCCGCGGCGCCCGCTGCAGCCGGCCGACCGCTGCGGCCGTAACTGCCGCAAAAACAAACAGCACATTATCAACAGATTCGGTGGCGCTGCGCGCGTTGTCGACCCCGCGCTGGCCGGCAGTAAATAACGCTGCCGGCCCGAGGCGCGTCAGCGTATTGACACGACGGCGGTCGGCGAGCCGCTTAACGCTTCATCGCGGGCATAAGGGGGCGGCCGAGCTAGCGCCACCGCCCTCCACGAGCTGTTTGAGTGCGCTGTAGCGACCCGCTACGGCCGTCCGAGGTGTCAGTAACGGCCCCGCCCGCCTCGGCGCCGACGCGCGCGCCGAATGAAGTCACCCCGGCCTCCGTAAATCGCGCGCCGCCCGGCAAACTCGCGGCCGGCACGAACGCCGTCGCTAAATCAGACGGTGGTAATAGGCCGGTACGCCGGCGGTGCGGCCAGGGAGCCGTCGGTGGGCGCGCGCTGGGGCACGTACGGCCGCGGACGACGCGACTCTTTTTTCGGCCGGCCCTGGCAGGGCGGCGGCACATGCCGTGGCTCACGTGACTTTTCGGCTCCATTGGCAAGTGGGAGTGCCGCGGCGTAATTTGTCAAATGGTAAATGACAGGGCACGACGGACAGACTGCAGGCGGACGGCGACGTGGTGCAAACGCGCCTGCATGACCTCCAGCCGCAAAGGTCGGCACTCGGAGAGGGCGGGGGGCGAACGCGATGACAGTTTTTGAGTGGGGAGGGGGCAGACAGATGACGATCACTGTTGGCACAAAGAACGGACAGAGCTCACATATGTTGAGCACCGCACAGTGGAACACTGTTCCTGCACGTGTGGCTGTTTAAATAACATAAATGTGACACCAGCAGTCGCTGAGAAGGATCCGCCAGCAGCAGTGTCCTGTCCCAGCCGGGGCTCCCCGCCCTTTCTTTTCTTCTCTGGCAATGTTTTTGGGGGGAATTGAGAGTGAGTGCTATGGAATGGTACGCATGCTGCTGTTGTCACATTTAACTTGTTTTTTATAATCACCACGATCCATTTGTTTCGTGTTACAGGGGCAATTAAGGTAAGGTGCTTCCCGAGGATCATCAAAGTCGACCCCTCAGCTCAGCATCGGCTTCAAATTGCCCGTTTCGCTTCACAGCCCGACGCCCGCGCATTTGGCGACGGGCCTCTTAGCTCAGTGGCGGCTCGGACATCACCACTTTTCAGCTCATCGCCATTTTTTCACACTTCCGGCCTGTGATTTTCGCTGTGGGCGCCGTCGGCGGTGCCTTTGTGCCTGTAGTCTCCCCTCCGCGCGGCACCCGGCATTCGCCCGGCACCGGCGCGCCGCCTGGCGCCGCCGCCTGGAAGCTCGGCCAGGCAGCGTCTGGAGCCGCTGGCGGCGGCCGCCGCGGCCTGCCAGTCGTCGTCGCGTGGTGCCGGAGGGAGGGTGCGTGCCGCACGCGCCGTGGACAGCCGCAGTCTCGCGTCTCGCCGGCCACGAAAGTAGCGCCGACAGGTGCCGTGTTTTGGGACGTTTGGTGCCCCAGTCCGACGCTCGCCAGAGCTGAGGGACGTTACGGACTTTTCCTTGTTGCGGAGGGATATGTGAGGCCAAACCGCCAGGAGCGACTTCAGGTAAGTAACTCTCGGACCCTTAGATTTCATGGTTGACGTGGTGCGTGCCTGCTGCGCGCTTGAGTTGAACGTCTCGACGACAGACGCAACAGGCTGTCGTCGCCGCCGCTGGAGAATGGCCTTCCCTCTCCCTCGTCGGTCAGCTCCGGCACGCGTCGGCCGCCCTTCTGCCGCCACCTCATGCGTGATCTGCCGACGCCGACGCCGGGATAGCCGAGCGTCAAATTAGCCGCGCCGGGCAGCCCATCTATCCTGACCGAGTTTTTGCCACTCGCGACCGAGTGGAGTGGCATCTTGAACCCGGCAGCTGTCCTCGGCTCCCGTTGAGAATCTCCATATCAATGCAGCCGCACAAGGCCCGCTATATGGCCCCTCGATTCAATCAAAACGCTGCGGGCAATTTATTTCGGCTGGCGGCGACGATAGTGAGGCGCAGCCTGGCGCTGGCAGGGTAAACAGACGCTATCTTGGAGCGACACTCCAGCGTCGGGGCGGCGCACTTCGCCGGCGCACAATGGCCAGTCCATTTTTGGATTCCTGCTGGCGCAACCCACCGCGCGCTTCGTGAGGCGAGGGCCGATGTCTGCCGCTCCATTGTGACCGACGTCGGTGGTGAAGCATCTGCCAGCGCCGGAGAGGAAAGGCAACATCGGCTGCGTCAAGGCCGGGCGCGAGGCGAAGTCCGCTCCCGTTCTCACGGCTATCATCGGCTCTCTGACATGCCAAAGGGCTGCGGCAGGCGCTGAAGTTGCGGTGAACGATTCGAAGCTCCCATCGTGAACACGGCGTTGCAGTGGGTCGGCGCCGGCAGCCATACGTCCCGCTGTGTCGCATATTTCCCACCACGCCGGCGTCGAATCGCGTGCCGGCACGGCGCCCCGTCTTTGTCCCGGTCAGTCGCGCCCAAACACGTCGCCGTTTGTGGGTCGCCCCATGGCGTGCCGGCGAGCGCGTTTTCCCGGCGCCGCGGCCGCCGCCGGCCGTGAGAGCGGGCGCCTGGGCGGCGGTGCCTCGTCCGAGTCAGAGTCCGAGTCTCCGCGGCGGCCGTAATCTGCGGGCTCCGCGTCGCGGCACGCTCGGGCCGCTCGTCCAGGCTCCCGGCGGCCGGCCGGCCCTGCCCGGCGACGCCAATGACACCCTGCCGACGCCGGTAATGTCGGCCAGGCCCAGCTCCCGGTCGGCGCCCGGCCGCGCATCTCCATAATCGGCGACCACTTTGAACCTGCTCCCGATTCAAATATTCATGCTCGGCGTTTCTTTGACTTTCAAATGCCGGTTCCTCCCGTCGTTGAATGTTTTAATCTGGCGTAGCGACGCACCGGGCTGCGCCCCGGCACAGTGTGAGCGCATGCAAGCACGCTCCTCTGTCGAACCTGTGCACTGCAGGGCACTGCACTCGGCGCAGTGCACAGTGCACACGACGCCCAGCGACTGCACTGTCCGGCGCGAAGCCCCGGGCCGCCTGTTTATCCCATGCGAGCTGAGTGCCACCTTGCCCTCTCTTATTATGGTCCATTACCGCTGCTATGAAGAATGGCTATGAATCAGCACATTTGTCCACCTCTGGAATCGGCCATCTGCCGGCGCCAGTGGTCCTCGCTCCGACATGGCGATTATCCCCTGCCCCTTTATAGACGGATGATATTTTCATCCGGCGCGCCGACAGCTGTTTTGCAGGCGGGGTCGCAGCCGGAGGAGCCGTGCCGACAAATGAGGTGTATTTGCCCCGCTTAATTCCGGCCGACTGCGCGGGGATGGCCGGTCCGCCACCACCGCCGGCGGCGGGCTGTTCCGCCAGGGGTCGGAAGGGACGCAGCCGCCGCACCGGGGGGCGGGGGTGGGGGCTAATTCCTCGACGCGGAATCTTTAATTAACTGTCCACGGCTGCTTTGAAGCGGCCGCGGCGGCCGGCCGGCCGACTGCGCGGGCGTGGCATGCCCGGCCGGCTCCAGCTCGCAAACAGCGGCTGATCCGCCGCGTGGGGCCGCGCCGAGCTCGCCTCGGCCGCGGCGGCCGGATGGCAACGGGTCTGATCCTGCGCGCAGGCGGCGCGGGTGGCTTCTCCGACCCCCGTCATGGGATGTCAGGCAAGATACCGCGGTGAGACGGTCGCCCACTGCACCGACGCCATTTCCTCTCCTCCCCTGGCAGGAAGCTGGCTTCAACGCAGTCTAGTGCAATTGACGTCACGGCGGAGGCCTGACGTCCGGGCGCCAACGGTCGCTGCGTCTCGTGCTCATGAGATCAGCGCCGGCCGGATGGAGACATCGCGGCGCAGTCGCGCGCCGCGCGCCGCCGTCAGGCTTCATCGTCGACTTGCGCCTGCAGTCGGGAGAGCGGTGTTTATGAGCGCTCCGCCGATCGCCGTACACATGTGTCCGCTTCGATAATGGCAGGCGAGCGGTGTAATTTGCCCGCTTTACTGCAAGCGACTGCCGAATTTATGTCATGGCGATAATAATATATCTCCTCCTGCTTCTCAGAGCGCCTCAGCCCAATTTGTAGTTCACGACTCCGTGTGGCATGCCCGCCCCTCGTCTGCTGAATGGGCTCGTCCTGCCGGCCAGCGCTGGCCGCGGCTGAGGCGCGTGGGGGACGCGGCGACTGACCGCGCGGAGGGGTGCGTGGCGGCCCACCTTAATGGCGCCAGACAATGGACCCAGGGGCCGGCCGGGTTGGCATGTGTGAATGGCGGCGGTGGCGGCCGGGCGCCGTGTAATGTCCCCGGCCGCCGGCTGTCACTTCAGCACTGAATGACGCCGGTCGGTCCGGACAGGACGCTTTTCCAACACGCGCTTTATGGCGGCTCGCGTCCTCCTGTGAACGTTTAATCTGGCAATCAGCGACTGCTTGACAATCGGCGCCGGGGTGCCACAGGAAAGGGCCGGATCGTGGAGCGCGTGCGTCATTCGCCGCCGCCGGCCTTTCATCATCGGATGCCGGGCCACAACAATGACGGCTCCGGCGACCGGTGACCGCCGCGAGATGTCAGCCAATTAGCGTCCAGCCGCGGCGTCGGCGCGGCGCTTTTTGAAGCGGCGCTGTCGCTGACCGGCCGCGGCCGCACGGCTCGGCCGGGTCCGGAGTCGAAACCGCAGCGAAGAGAGGCGCCGTCATCGTCGGACGCCGTTATCACTCATTTCATTAGCAGCCGGCGCTGTTGATTTATGGAGGGCAGCCATAAAACGGCGGCGCCGGCCGGCCGCTGTGAGGCCCGCGGCGGCTTCTCATCGTGCAGTCTGGCGTGGGGGGGGGGGGGGGGCGGGGGCAAAACTGACTCGGTCCGCAGCGAGAGTGTCCTTCAGTGGCGACTCGTGTCAGAGACTGGACAATGAGCTCGTTCTGTTGACCTGTGTCAGAGACTGGACGGCCAGCTTTGTCTGATGACCTGCGTCAGAGACTGGGCCTTCAGCTATCGTCTGCGTCAGACTGAACGGCCGCCTATGTCTGGTAAGCCACGTCAGAGATTGGACGACCAGCAGTGTGGTCACCTGTGTCAGAGGCTGGACGGTCAGCTGTGCCCTTTGACCTGAGCCAGGGAGAGGAGACAGCCGTGAAAATATGACACCCGATGATATCTGTGCGGGTCGGGTCGTCCGGCGGGGAGGCACGCCTCCACAGAAGGGCCGCCGTCGCCTGGCGCTTCCTCGCAGCGCTATCAAGGCAGACATCGGGCCGCTTTAATTATGGCCTCTCATACCAGCTGCCAATTAAAGTGGAACATAAAAGTGTCGGGGGACATGGCATTCGGATTTTTGTGCGGTGGAGGGAGGGCACGTGGTTTGTGAAACGCTTTGTATACGGGGAGATCAGGCCCGATAGTTTCGAATTTCGGCGGACCCATAAAAAGGCGCCTGTTCGTAATCCAGCGCTTAGCTTCCATGTCAATTTGTTGAACCTTGACTATTCACTTTTTCCCTGCTGTCGCCTGTCAGACGTGAGCGCCCATTGGGCCAGCGGAGACGGGAGTGACTGCGCCGAATTCCTGGGCGGTGTCGGCGACGCGCTGGCGCCCCTCGTGGCCACCGTCTCCGCGGGCTTCGGCCGCCACACCGTGGCGCGCGCGGCAGACCAACTAATATTGCGCCGCCGGCAAACGACCAAACTTCTTATCGTCGGGCACCGCCCGCGCAGCGTCGACTTCGACGCCGCGAACGAGCTCCGTCAGGCGCTGAGCGGCGCTGGTCTGGCGGGGACATCTGGTCTGGTGAGTCTGGTCTGTTCATGGCGAAACGGCGGTACGAGCAGCAGCGTCGCGGCCATGACCACGCCGACCGGCCATGGCTCCTCACGAGCCACCGGCTCCGTCGAACACGGGATTCACCACAGACCATCCAACAGTCACCCGCACTTTCACACGAAGAAGCGCCTCCGGTTCTCCGTGCAGCGGAGAACCGGATGCGTCGGGGCAGCGTAGTGGAGTTCGCACGCGGCCCGCGGCGGGCCGAGGAGGGACGACAACTGGCCGCGACCCCGCCAGCCCGAGGCGAGGCGCCGAGCTTCCATCGAGCCGCCGGAGCCGTCTCCCGATCCGCCTGCATCCCTCGCGCTGCGGCCGGAGTCGAGCAGCCGGCCCGACGCCCAGTCTGGTGTCGAGCTGCCGGCCCGACGTCCAGTCCGGAGTCGAGCAGCCGGCCCGACGCCCAGTCTGGTGTCGAACAGCCGGCCCGACGCCCAGTCTGGTGTCGAGCTCCGCTGATCCGATTAGGAGGTCAGGCACTGTTCGCTCTTGAACCTGCGCGGGCTCCGCCGCCGGCGCCCGGCGCAATCCGGCATCCGGCGCTCGTTAAGCTCCTCCTCGCGGCGCAGGCCGTCGATTGGAGCGCGCCGCGCCGTTTTATCCGCTCGCCGGCAGCGGCGCTCTTGGCCGGCTAAACCCGCGCGCTCCGACCCGGCCGCTGAGCCCGGATCATCATAGGCGGGCTCCGGCGGCGGCGCGGCAACGGGCGTGGATCTCCTCGCCTGCGGCGGGTGCGTCTCCGGGGCGGCTGTTGCCGCCG